TTTTTTCTGAAGATTAATGTCATAACACCAAACTTATAAGTTACGTTAAATTATAGGCATAATTAATTAGGTTCGTATTCTCCACAATTAATCGAGTTACACATGATGGTGTGGGACCACTGATATTAGATGTCATTTTTTCAATCGAAACAAAGAAACTCAAGATAGGGCATTGATTGTCACTCTATGGATCATTAAATCTTAATACAAACATTCTTGTGGATGGAATAATAAACTCTTCTTATTATATGAATCCCAGAGATACGAAATGTTGAAGTTTGATTTGACTATCAAAGTAATATTGGCGAAAATTCTAATGCTATCAAGGTTGAAACATGCTTATTCGTAATATTCCAACTTCCATTATTATTATTATCATTATTATTATTTTTTTCACTCAATGCTGTTTAAGTTGTAACATGATATAGAACTTGAAAGACCGTGATGAAAAAAAAAAAAAAAACATTTTAGCCTCGAAATTAATAAAGAAAGGAACAAGTATCACTTGTTCAATAAGTTTAGCCCATGATTGGGCTTCATTTCAATGGAAATTCGGGGAAAATGAGTTTTGAAATAGTGAATTTTTTGAAAAAAATGTGTATTAACAAATATAATTCCAAATGTACTTTTTGAATTGATTGAGAGAAAAAAAATTAGTGCCCGCATTATATATAATTTTATTATCACCAAACCTTTCTTAAAGAAATATTAATAATCTCATAGCATCCACGTATTAATTCTTGATTGACAACTGATTCTCGACAAGAGATAGCGACATATAACTGATGAAAACTGAATCTATTACTAGTACCTTACCTAAGCCCCATTTGCCCCCATTTTTTTAAAATGAAAATGAGTGGAATAATATTTTTTTGAAAAATTAGTGGTTGAAAAAAAATGAATTTTTTTGATTTATGTGTAATATTATTTTATGGAAGATTGTGTGATTAAAAATAGGAGAGAGAAAAATGGAATGTAATGTAATTGAATTTAATGGAGGCCAAACGGGGCTTAACCAGTACATCTTATTTGTTGATGTATCTATGAATAGTAGGCATGCCTACCAAAATAACGATCAAAATAAGCCCTTGTTTTAATCCTATTTTGTGGGTAAAAAAAAATTATTTTTGAATAGTGATTTTTGAAAAATGTGGGGTTAAAAAATAAGAAAAAATTTTCAATTTACGTGTAATCTCATTTTTAGAAAAAATGAATTTTTCAAAAAATTGTAGGATAGAAATTTTTTAAGAATAATAAAATTTGTGTAACATATCTATTTCTGTATCGTTAAAAATAGAAAAAGCTAGAATTTACAAAAGGATGATAAAGGTCCGAACAACGAGCTCATCTTAAGACGAGTCATGCACCGAATTGAGTTCACCCTTTTTTTTTTTTTTTGCCGGCTTGTGGGTCGACTCCTTTGAGAGTTTATTTTATTAATTTCTGTAAAAAAAATAATTAACTCGATTCATGAAATCCACGGGTCGAGGTGTTGAAACTGTGAAACTTTACTTTAGGAGAATATCCCTCAACTTAGACCTAAATGCGATAACTATATAAAGAAAGCAGGCTAATCGCTAGAACAATCTAACCTTATAGATATGTACTAATTGGCCCACCTGCCTCGCTAGATTTTGTGGGTGTTTAATAATGTTTACAAATGTTGCCCCACTTGGAAAGAGATTGTGATTTAATAAAGAATTTCATCAAATTAACAGTATAATTCAAATCTTTTCTTGACTTTTTAATCATACATACTCCAAAAAGATCACTATTACAAAATCATTTAAAAAGTTTAGGAGTATCTAATGTAAACTTTTTAAAACTCTCTAAAAATATTAGTGTATTAAATTGAGACTTTTTAAAATTTTTAAAAAGTCTTTATAAATCACTGTATATTCAATTAAAATTTTTTAAAAATTTCTGTAAGTTATAGAGTATTCAAAATTTAATAACTTTTAGAGACTTTTATTAAAAATTTCAGGGTACTAACTTTTAAGCAAAAAGTATTTAGATAAAATCTCAAAATTTGTCTATCATTAATAACAAGATTTTGGGAGAGTTTCACAAAAAAAAAAAAAAAGGGGGAAAAAAATTAAGAGTTCAATTAATTTCATACAAATCTATATAAAAAAAAATCACAAAATTTACTGAAATCATCACTTAAAAAAGTCCATCAAAGTTTTCAAAAGTTTCAATTGAATATACCAAAATATTTTCAATAAAATAATATTACACGCAAAAAAACCATTTTTTTTAAATTTTTAATCACTCACGCTCTCCATCAAAATATTATTTTTTCAAAGGATAAAGATATTTGTAAAAAAATTTATTGACAAAATGGTGTATTCACTTTCACAAAATTAACGTACCCCACGTAAATTTAAAAAATATCGACTTATAGTCCCCATCCTCACTACGAGTAGTGAGTTTGTAATAAAAAAACAATTAATAATAAAAAAAATAAAAAATTACATAAATGATCCTATTTTAAAATGCATTTTGATTAAAAAAAACAAAAAAGAGCCGCGGGCGGGGGGCGCGGGGAATTTCTCAAACGGGTTCCAAGCTTTATCATACACAAACATTTTCCATTTGTCTTGTTACAAATTCATCTATCATCACTGCTCCCATCCATTTTGACCCAAATTCTCAAACGGGTTCCAAGCTTTATCATACACAAACATTTTCCATTTGTCTTGTTACAAATTCATCTATCATCACTGCTCCCATCCATTTTGACCCAAATTCTCAAACGGGTTCCAAGCTTTATCATACACAAACATTTTCCACTTGTCTTGTTACAAATTCATCTATCATCACTGCTCCCATCCATTTGGACTCAAATTCTGCAATCTGCATGCATCCCTCCGCCGCTCCACGTGCCCCTCTGTCTCCCTCACACACTCAACCGCACGTTATGCAATGGAAAATAAACTTGAACTGGAAAATTCCCGT